ACTCAGAGATCTGCATCGCCAAACCCCACCCCAGTGTGACCACAGCTCACCGAGGCTGGACACTTGAAGCACACTGCACAGCCTTCAGGTAGCTCAGCAGGTTGGAAAGTGTCATTTCCAGGCAACTCAACTGGCCTCTTCTTGCAGGGGCTCAGTTGGACCCATCTCTTCGGGGCAGCTAATAGTATCATTGGGCTGTTCTTACAGATTATATATATTTAGGGAGGGAGGAGTCTAGTGTATCTTGTCAGTTTCAGGGACTTCCTGAGGCCCTGAAATGTTTATCTCTTGATCTTAATGAGCTTCCTTGAAGGGTGGACTGTTTCACATACCCCCACCCCCCACCTTAGAACAGTGGTTCTCAACCTTGGGATCGAGACCCCTGTGGATCACACATCAGATATTATATTACCAGTCACAACAGGAGCACAATTACAGTTCTGAAGCATCAATGAAAATAATTTTATGCTTGGGGGTCACCACAACATGAGACATTGCATTAAAGGGTCATAGCATTAGGAAGGCTGGGAACCACCCTTAGGACATCTTGTTCCACCTCCTAACATCCTATGACTTACAGAGCTTCTCTCTAAAATGGAAGGTTTTCATCTCAGAGGAAAGGGCTGTCCAGCAGTGTTATACTGCTGATGCATTAGAGCGGTGCTTTGCACATATTTAATTAATTCAGACGTCTCATCAGGCCACCTGCTTGTTTTTATTTTCATTAATGAGACTACTGGAAAAATCTAAATTGCCAGTGTTAGTGAGATGGCTCAAGGGGGAAAGGCGCTTGCCTGCAAGCCTGATGGCTAGATTCTGGCACCCAGACCCTTAGGGCGGAGGGAGAACTGATTCTGGTACACTGTCTTCGCCCACCACACACGCGCCCTGGTGCTTGTACACATGCAAATGCACACACACTAAATAAATAAATGTAAAAAATTATTTAAAAAATAGTAAAATAGAACTACCATGAGGATTGTATTATCTTATATTAACAACCCTGCTCTACCACCTTTAGAATGATTCTTTTTAAGTCCAGTGTTATTTGTGGATACTCAGGATCCTGAGTGAATCCCGTGAGCTCATGGGTTCAAGACCAGCTTGAGAAACTATATTTAGAGAGCCGTTCAAAGAAAAGATGCCAGGCGCTGTTGGCACACGCTTTTAATCCCAGCACTTGGGAGGCAGAGGCAGGTGGATCTCTGTGAGTTTCTGGCCAGCCTGGTCTACAGCGTGAGTTCCAGGATAGCCAGGGCTACACAAAGAAATCCTGTCTCAAAAACAAAACAAAACAAAACAAACAAACATAGACTGTTCCCTAATTTTTTTTCCTCTCAGGTTTTGCCCTCCCCCAAATCTATTGCAGATTTAATTCAAAAGCCCTTATTTCTTATTTCTCTCTCTCTCTCTCTCTCTCTCTCTCTCTCTCTCTCTCTCTCTCTCTCTCTCTCTCTTTCTCTCTCCTCCCACCGACATACTCTACCTGCCTAGGCAGTGGGCTCACGGCCTGCACGGTCTATCTTCACTTCATTTTTCCATTTGGCATTTGGTGTTCTATCTTGCCTTCTGCAGCCATGGGAACTTGTTTTCTGGTCACGTCTTCGGCCTTAAATTGTTTCTTTGGCTGTTTCCTTGGACTGTCTGGACAGGATGTCCCTTCAACACCCACCCTCGGGGCTCCATATCTGGGGGTGGGAAAACCTCCCCTACAGAGAGGCCTGGCTCCCAGAAGCCCAGTGCTACCCATTGTCCTTTCTCCTTCCTCTCCCCACCCCTTGTTCTTCCCTTCTCCCTCCCCTCCTCCAGCCCTCCCGTTCCCTTACTCCTCCTCTTTCTCTACCGCTGTGTCTTTTCCCCATGCCTTCCATTTGCACCCAGGACGGAGCCTTTGCAGGTAAGACGTGGAGGACCTTTCTGAGTCAGGGGGACATCAGCTCTCTGTGGCGCATGCTCATGAGCGGTAACTCTGAGGCGTCTCAAGGCAGTTCGGTCTGTCTCTGGCTTCTGTTTACCAGGCAGTGTTGTTTCTTTGTTTCCTTTGTGACTTCCATCATTCCTTAAATTCCTGCCAAAGTAAGCTAACTGACCTCCGGAGATTACAAAAGCAATCAGCCTCCCGGCCAGCTAGTTGTCATGTGACCAGTGACTTTGTTCAGGTGGTCAAAAATCAGGAGATAGCTTCCCCCTTGCGTGGGGTGTCTACGGTGGGTATTACAGGACCAGTTTGGGAAGCTAGGGACAATTTTTGTGGGGATCGCAGGCCCAGGAAAGAGAAACAGAGAGTTAACAGAGCCCTCCCAGTGATAAGAGTGAGGATGAATGAAGGATGTTGCTTAACCTCCTTCCCCAGCCTTCTAAAGCATGCTGACTCACCGAGGGAGAAGGAGCGGCCTTTCCCTGTGGTTTCCACTCTGCACTTCAGTGATTCCCACAGCCCTCCCTGAGAAACCAGCCTGGGAGCTAGGACTGACTTGCTGCTACCGCTGCAGTTCCCCCACCCCCAATTTCCTTATTTATCTAGTTAGTTATACTTATAAATCGATTCTTTTTGGCTGTCACAAGATAAATTTATTTATTTATTTATTTATTTATTTATTTATTTATTTATTTTTGGTTGTTTGAGACAGAGTTTCTTTTTGTAGCTTTGGAGCCTGTCCTGGAACTAGCTCTGTAGACCAGGCTGGTCTCGAACTCACAGAGATCCGCCTGCCTCTGCCTCCCGAGTGCTGGGATTAAAGGCGTGCGCCACCATCGCCCGGCTACAAGATAAATTTAAAGCATTTAAAATTTTTTGAGATTATAATTTAATCACAAACCTTTCCATCTCCTCCCTATTCTCCTTCAAATCATGGTCCTTTTCTCACTAATTGTTACTGCATGCATATATATATTTGTGTATACATATCTATTCCCAAATAGAACCTGCGCAGGCCACGTAATGGTACTTGCACGCATGTTTCAGGGCTGAGCATTTGGCACTGAAGAACCAATTGGTGTGCTCCTCCCTAGGGAGCACCACCTCGCCCACTCCCAGCCTTCCTCAGTTGCCACGATTCTTTATGGGTGTATTCCTATTACTGGGAAACACAGGCTCATAGAAAACTTTCTAATTCTCTGTCTGTGACAGAATTTCTGCCCCCTCTTCCAAAATGTTTCCTGAGCCTTAGGTGTGGTTCTGTTTTGTAGACACATGCATTGGGACTAGGCTCCAGAACCTGGCGTTTTGATTAGTTGTGTTTTTCTATACTGGTCTCCATCTGTTGCAAAAAGTTTCCCTGATGAAGAATGAGGAGTACCTTTATCTGTGGGCATAAGACACATGCTTATAAGTTGTTGGTTGAGATTATGCTGGTTGAATAAATTAGTAGTTTTCTTCCAATAACCATACTTTGATTAACACTGAATAAGTACCTAGGTTTCAAGTCCTGGACATTGTTCCCTATTGCTGAGCAGGTCTTAACTCCAACTAGAGAGCTGTTGGTTACCACCAAGGTCTGTGTGCCATTACTGCACCCTTCGGGTTATTGTGCCAAGCTGATCATTGATGGGACTCATAGGCATCACAGTTGGTAAGATTACTGGTAGCCTCCCTCCTTTGGAAGCTTGCATGGCACCTTCTGGTATCAGGAAAGCCAGTCCTCGGGGAGGGTACGTTCAGGTCAATTCCAGCGCAGGGGTCTCTGGGCTGTTTCTGAAGTAGACAGTGTCTTCAGAGATTGAGACTTTCCTTCCACTTCTGGGGGAAGGGAGTGGTAACCATGGACAACAGCAGTAGGTTGTATGTTTTGCGAGTCTCTTAGCTAGCCATGCCCAACAACTCAAAAGAGGGCTTCTAATGTCTACTAGTAAGGTTTTGTTAAGTGGTCTTTGGCTATTTAAAAGAGTATTGTCAGCTCAGATGAGAAAATTTCATTAGAATTATATATGTATGTTTATGCATAGAATTGCATGTATCATAGGTGTTCTTTTGATAACTAATTAAGAGTATGATTCCTTGTGGCATGTCATTGTACCACCTCCCTCCTCGTGTGCACACCTTGTTTCCTAAGGAGCCTCCACATTCCCCAAAGCAAAAGGTTAAAGTACAGGTGAGACTTAACTGTGACAAAGAGACATGGTGCCCAAATGACCCATGTTTGAGAAACATTGTCCTAGAAGAAGAAAAGCGCAGAGAGCACTGTGAGCTTCTGTTACTGTTTGCAGTCATTCCTGACTCAGCCCAATGGCATTGAATATGGATCAACTGATTGTGTCTGTGCATATGTGCCCATGTGTGTGATGGCCAGAGGTTGATACTGTCTTCTTCAGTTGCTGTGCTACTGGATCCAGGAGACTGACTGGCCAGGGAGCCCTCGGGATGCTCCTGTCCGGCTCTCCGGTGCTGGGAGTACAGGCACACGCCTCCATCTCTGGTACTTTCCAGTGGTGCTGAGGGAATCCTTATGCTTGCGCAGAAAGCACTGTACAGCTGAGCCGTCTTCCCAGCATCCTCAAATACCACTTAAAAACAAAGACAAGGTCGGGCATGCCGTAGCAGTCAGAGCTATATAGTGAGACCCTGTCTCAACAAACAAGACTGAATTCAGGGAATGACCACGAGCGAAGGGGGTATAAAGCGAATTGTTTTTCTAATTCTAACTCTGTCACAGAGTTTTGTTTGGGGTGGTGAATCAGCATTTGATTACGGAAGAACAATACCCAACGCGAAGCTCCACAACTTCCTTTCCAAATGGTTAATTTAACTCTACAGAAGCTCATTGAGATGTATAGTTTTAAAATCTGGTTAATTTCAGTATGTGATATTTTTGCAAAGGTTTTTTTTTAAATAATAAAGTTTAATTATAAAAAAAAGAGACCCTTTTTGTGTGGAAGGGTCCTTTGGGCTTTACAGCAGTCAAGGAAACGATCTGCAAAAATACAAGAATAAAACTTGGTACAGTCCGATTTTGGTACTGGGCCAGGATTTCTAGGGTCTGACATCAGATCATTTATTTTAGCCATAGGTAAGCACAGCACAATTTGGGAGAAAAGTTTTCCGAAAACGATTAACTCAGCCCTGTGAGTACAACAAGCTCAAGACATGTTTACATGGAAATCCCTTACAACGTACGCGGGCTTCATCTGTAAGATTGGCTTTTGTTGACAGAGAAGCAATGCTGAAGGTAATGGTCTAGGGAGAAGGGCGGAGGTAAATGTAACAGCTGGCCCTAAGATAACAGAGAAGTCACTTAGGCTGTTGTAAAGTACAAATGGCATCTCTCACAAGGATGAGTTTTATGACCTGGAAGTCATGCTCAAGGTTTTAGGGGGAAAGGTATGGGAGGAGTAAAACATAATCAGACAACAAGGGTTCACCAGGTTGTAAGCTGCCTCCATTCCTGGCATTCCAGGGGGAACGTCTCTTTCCTTTGAAGGATGTTGAAATAGGAGCGGCGGCAGGGCTGCGTCCCCGGCACCCGGCCGCCCGCATGGCTAGCTTATGCCCGAAATAATTACATGGAAACTGTATTCTTTCAAACACTGCCTGGCCCGGTTAGGTCCAGTTTCTTATTGGCTAGCTCTTACATATTGTTCTAACCCATTTCTAATATTCTGTGTAGCCCATGAGCTGGCTTACCAGAGAGGATCTTAACCTGCATCTGTCTGGAGTGGGAGCATCATGGCGACTCCTCCTCTAACCTTCTTTCTCCCAGAATTCTCTTCTGTATACTCCGCCTACCTAATTTTCTATCCAATAAAATGGGCCAAGGCAGTTTCTTTATTAGTAAGAAATCATTCCCACATCATTTCCCCTTTTTCCGTTTAAACAAAAAAGAAAGGCTTTAACTTTAGCATAGTAAAATTACATATAACAAAACAGTTATCAAGTAAGAATTACAGTTACAATATTTATATCTATTTTATCTCTTATCATAACTAAGGAAAACTATAACTATTTATTCTTCAACTCCATCAAAGACTCCAGAAGGATATAATATTATCTAAGTAAACAAGAAATAAGAAAACTCTAGAAATGACAGAGACATCTCGCTGCCTGGACAGTCACCCAAAGTTCCTCTGTACCGTTGGGGCATCCATCTTCGGCCTACAGGCCCATGGTATCCAGATACATTTCCATGAAGCAGGAAATTTCAAAGACAGTTCAGTCATTTTCTGCTGTGTCCTGCAGAATGTCTCGCAGACTCTTTCATGAATCAGGAACCCCGAAAGACCATCTCACCTTTAGGCAAGTTCAGCAGTCCTCTCTCTGAGGGTTCTCTGTGTCCAGTTTATGCAACAGTCCAGGCAAGAGCAGTTTCTTGCCCAAATGACTATCCAACTCCATAAGGATCCTCTTCGATGCCCATCTTCCTCTTGAAGTAGCTGGTGCTGCCAGGAGCAGACGTGTCTCCTTGTCATGAAAAGTCCTAAGTTATTAAAATATTTTAAATGCCATATTCTGCAGTCTTTGAAAGATATGAAGAATGCCTATCTAACTGAAATATATCTCTATATATCTAGAAAATCTAATTAACATGACTACAAGCTTAACTATTAGCGATGATTATCCATTAACAACCTATATTTCCTAATTATACATTACATTTTTAAATGAACTACACAATCACAATACCTTAATCAAGATCAAAAATACATATACATATAACAAAATTGACCATAAAATCCATACCAATGCAAATTATTCATATCTATATCATATCCCCCTTTAAATGTAAAAGAACATTTATAAACAATATTTGGGAACATGGGCGTAGTTTTTTCTCTCCAAACTGCTTCCTGCTGAATAGGGGCGTCGTTAATTAGGTTGTTCATGATATAACCTGTATGCTAGTTTCATCTCAGTTGGCAATTGAGCGAAGCAATTTTTTGAGGGTGTTCACAGCAACCTTTCAGGAGGGCGTGGTCTATCATACCAAATCGGAATAGATGCAATCCACAGGGTCTCATCCTCTGCAAAAACAAAAGAAGACCCTCTCCAAAGCATCATATCCTTAGACCCAAATTCTGAAATCATAATACCCTCATGAAATCCATTTTGGTTTAGCTTGGCAGCCCATATAATGAAATGTCTCTCTGTACTTAGCTCCTTCACAGTCAAAAATTTTAAAGAAAACACAATGTACATAATCCAGACTCTCTGTGAATTTTCCATTTTTACGTGGCTTATTTTTCTTTATTTCTCTTAATCTATAACTATCTGTACTTCTGTACTCTGTCTCTTTAAAGACTTTACCCTTTTTCTTTTTAAGACATTAACTTTATTCTTTATATTCTTTTTCTTCTCTTTCCCAAGCCTACGTACATTTATCCAACAGTGTCTGAATCTGTTTTATTGTGAATCTGTAACTTTTTTACTATCCAGGAGCACTTTGTTTTGCGCCTTTAAATCACTAAGCGCTTAAGAATCTAAGCTGTGACATTCCTAGGTCAAAAACAGGTACTGTATGCTGGCCCCGCCCAGTCCAACATGGCGGAGCCGCTCGTGCCTCTGATCCTTGCACATTGCACCATTAGCATGGCGGAGCTGCTTGTGCCTCTGAGCTGCGGCACACAATGTCCCCCTTTTAGGCACACAGCAGTCTAGTTGCCATCAAACAAATCGTAGCACTTTAATCCAAATGCTCCATTCATAAGCTCTGTCTCCCGCCGGAGCCAGACAGAGATCACAATGGCGGCACAGCCCAGAAAGCCGGCATTTTAAAACAGCCAGTTTTTTCCTGCTGCCGAGTCAGGACAATTTCTTTGCGGCACGCAACCCAGAAACAGCAAAAAGCTGTCTTAAATTCTCTCTCTCTCCTTTTTAAGCCCTCTCAGGTTTTTAAGTGGATTTAGCCCATCACGTCTGGGCGCCAGAAGGATGCCTGCGAGTTCAACTTTCCTGGCTTCTCCAGCGCTTAGCTGTGTGCCAAAGCATTCTTTTGCTGTCTACATCTTTGTTAGCTTTGCGGATTCTGGAAAGATAGTGATGGTCTAAGAGGAGAAGGCCATGTTAGAATATTTTATCTTCTTTCAGAGGTTGATGCCAGAGACTCGGTATGACTACCTATTTGACTTTGGTGGTGTTAGCTGAAGGCCTTTTGGGAGTCACTGAAGCCATGGGTCCTGAAATGGGTCCTGGTTGCCACCTTTCCTCCCTCTTTCCCCCTCTCTCCTCCCTGGTCTCCATGAAGAGACAGAGGTGCTCTGCCATGCCTTCCCCAAAGTGAAGGATTGAAACCAGGAGGTAGGCTAATCTTCCCACCCTGACATTGTTCTCTTGCCGCAGTGACAGAAAGGCGAATACATTTAGTGGTGCAGAATCCCACCAACAGCAATGATTCCGATCGTTGTTGAATAACTCCCTGGTAAAATTCTTTGGCATGACACTCTTCTGTTGGAGTAGAGAAATTCAAGAGACAGTGGAGATGAGGGGAGAGGGAGAATCCTTCAGTGACGTTTACTTTGTTGACAGTGTCCTTTATCTCTTCAAGGTCAGCAGTGAAAGGCAGGGTCCTGGACGGTGGCCCTGAATCCTGATTGCCTGTCTGTCAGGGAGACACATGTGGTCAAAGATGAATTTGAGCAAAGTAGCTGCTGGCTACTCGAACTATGGAAAAGCAGGGCCATTATGAGATGGAAGCCATCCCACCGGGTTGCCACTCCCACATTAAACTGCTGAAGATCAACAGGGAACATCTGGTCACCAACATCCGCAACACTCAGTGTCTGGTGGACAACTTGCTGAAGAATGGCTACTTCTCAGCGGAAGATGCAGAGATCGTGTGTGCCTGTCCTACCCAGCCCGACAAGGTGAGGGACACTGGTGCTGACAGTGACTGACCTGGGTTTCTAGCAGCTCTCCCCCTACCCTGATCCCGGAAAAGGGAGGATTTGCTATACTGGACCAAATTTCCCACTGGGGTCTTTGTTTTTGTTGTTATTGCTGCTGCTGCTGCTGCTGCTGCTGTTGCCATCCCCAGCTCAGCTTCTGCAGCACGGGGCGCATTGATCACAGGTGTGCGTGCACACCGAGCTCTGCGGGTTATTTTCATCCCTGTGCCCCTTATGCATTACAGAACAGCTTGATTACAGATGTGTCCTCACGCTGGGGCCTTAGTAGAACAGAAATGAGCTTCCTGCCAAGCCAGTTTACTTCTGCTTGAGGCTGGAACAAGCCCTTCCATTTCAGCTCTCCCTGTACCGAGTGTTGATCCCTAGGCCAACTTGTGCTTTAAATGAGTAGGTGAGAAAGAGCGTGGCACTCGGTGTCTCAACACCCCAAGGGGCCAGAGGCACCCACAAAGCCAGATTTAGAAGCGACGGCCTCCTTAGGTGGGACCCCATTGAAGACTTTCCCACGCTATGAATGAGGAAGTAGAACCATCAGTTCCCTCTGCTTGGGAGTATGGTCTGCAAACTAAGAGAGTCCCCCAAGTCTCTGGATAGAAAAGTAAAGTGCCTATTTGAGATGAGGCAGGCAGGGGCTAAAGACACCCAAAGAACTTCTAGGGGGGCCCACAGCACACTGGTATGCTTTGGTTTCCTCTCTTGACACCCCCTTTCTTGGCTTTTTGAGACAGAATGCCCCTCTGTAGTCTAGGTCGAGTTGAAACTCTAATCCCCCTGCCTCAGTCCTCTGAGTGCTAGGACTTAGGTGTGTGCCGCTATATACAGCTCCCCGTTGCTTCACCTGTGTTTTTGATACAAAGACCAGTTTGAACATGAGCTTTGATGGGAGTCTGTTACCCTCCTGCAGCTAGCCCGGATATGCTTCTTCCTCTTGTCTCTAGGGTGACTACCTCCTAGCACACTTATCCCTAGATGACAGTGACAAGAGGTTAGGAGGGAAAGTCCACAGCTGGAGGGCTTTTCCCATGTCTCTTCTGTTTTTAGGCTCACAGATGCTTCCTGGCTTCTTATTGCCATGGGGATGAATTCTTGCTAACGAGGCCCACTTTGCAGATTCTATGCAGACTCTTACACAGGCTGTGCAGATGGTCAGGCCATTGCACAGTACAGTAGTACTAGCACCTGGAGCCCCACCTGGAGCCCCTGGGATCCTTTTGGCAGGGAGATACCCCTCACACCAGCTCACGTTCTTAATGTTTGTGCCATTCATAGGTCCGAAAAATTCTTGACCTGGTGCAGAGCAAAGGTGAGGAGGTGTCTGAGTTCTTCCTCTACGTGCTACAGCAACTCGAGGACGCTTATGTGGACCTCAGGCTGTGGCTATCAGAGATCGGCTTCTCCCCTTCCCAGCTCATTCGAAGCAAAATTATCGTCAATACTGACCCAGGTAGGAATCAGCCCCAGCAGGACTATAGGCATGGGTATGAAGGAAGGCACTGGGGTCTGGGAGTGTTATCATACTGTGGCACAGGTGGGCATAAAAATGTAACCAACAAGGCCAACCTGGCTGCCTGGGCTCTATCTTACGGAGCAATCCCCAGTGCTGCTTCCATTTTGGAAAGAAGAGATGGTCTCTGGCATCAGAGTGCAGCCTAGGTCATTGCAACTGAACCAAGCACAGGGAGCTTGTCTGCTTCCTTTTGCTTGCTTGGGTTCTGGGGATGGAACCCCGGGCCTTATGCATGCTAGGCCAGGGCCTTACCAGGGTTATACACCCTAGCCCCTCTCATCTGGTTTATTTAGGAGCCCCGGGAATTTTGGAAGGCCTTAGCTCTGAGTGCTTGTGCAATCAGACACAGCACTAGCACAGTTTTGACACCATGTTTTTCTTTTTTAAAGTTTGTTCTAGGTGGGCTAAGATGTCACTCGGTGGTGATGTATTTACCTAGCACCTATAGGCTTTGAGCTCAACCTCCAATATACAAGTAATAATAAAGAAAAATACCTTTCCCGAAAACAATGAGATTCTAGGCAAAGTTCTTCGGTTACTCAGGATCCAGTCTATATTTTCAAAGTGCTGCAGACCTCATGAGTTGACTGGTTAGCTCCATAATTTTTATGCACAACCTACACCTGTGGAGGCACTGTGCTGGCTTCTGAGGACGCAGCGATAAGCAGGGACAGAACACGACTGTCTTCCGGGACTTCAGAGTCTATGGCAAGGCGACCAGGACAGCAGCGGAAGGTGCAAGTGGTGAGGGCAGAGTCTGCTCTGGGAGGGGGCCACCTGTTTTTACTCTCTCTGTTTTGTGACAGCCACCGGGAGCACGCCAGCAAGTACCCCACACTCTGGCTTTTAGACTCCACTTTGACCTGGTGTTTTAGTCACTTTCCATCTCTGTGACAAAATGTCTCAGAAAGCAACTTAAAAAAAAGCCAAGCTTTGCTTTAGTGTCTCAGTGCATGGTTGGTGGCTCCTTTGCTCTGTGCCTGAGCAGGGCTGGAACATTATCGTGGAAGTGCCTGGCGGAGAACGGAGAACAGCTACTCCCAGCAGCAGTGAGAGACAGCGGGGGAGCTGGGGACAAGATACAGTGTTAAAGGGCAGGCCACCGTGACCTGACTCTTCCAGATGACTGCACCTCCTAGTTTCTGCTGCTTCCCAACAATTCCATTAGATTATGAAGCGATCAGTGGATTAATCTTGGGGAGGTCAGAGCCTTCAAGATCGCATCACTTCCCCAAAGCTCACTGACTGGCTCTGCCATTGGCCTTCGGGGTCATACCAGATTTAAGACATTACGGTTTAGAAACAGAGAGAAAGGGCCTTCCCAGTAAGTGAATGTTTAAAGAGAAAAGGGCCAACCAGTAGTGCCAAGGGCCAAGGCTGAGCTTGCTCCTGTAGCCCAGAGGTGCCAGCTGGCCTTAGCCAGCCTCTTGGTGATACTGCTTCTTCCTGCCTGTTTTCATCCCATCCCCGCCCGTGTGTGTGTGTGTGTGTGTGTGTGTGTGTGTGTGTGTGGTATCTGTGCCTGTGTCTGTGTCTCTGTGTGTGGTGGGGTATTTAGTTCCAGGGTGAGTGGCTCTTTCAAAGGACTTCTCAGTTGGTTCCTTCAGCCATGACCGACTTTAGAGAGTCGTTCACTCTACAGGACAGCACACATACATGACAGATTCATATCACAGGTTATCATATGTCTGAAATGTCCAGCAAACACACGTTCATAAAGAAAAGGAGTCCGCCAGCAGCTGTCGTTGTCTGGCGTTGGGCCAGAACAGAGGCTGGCTGCACATCAGCTCAGGAACTTTGGAAGGGTGATGGGTATTTCATTCTAGAAATATAGTAGTATTTACTGAATTTTATTAATTTACTAAAAATTGACTAGGATGTAATGCAGTTTATAAAATTTTGTAATATAAATTATTATGAGTTATAACCAAAATAAGGCATAAAGTACCATTAGCGTTAAACTTTTTTAGTGGGGATTTGTGTTCTGGGCAGGTTTGGCCTTGAACTTTTTTTTCTTCCCCAAGATAAGGTTTCTCTGTGTAGGCCTGGCTGTCCTGGATCTCACTCTGTAGACGAGGCTGGCCTCAAACTTACAGAGATCCACCCGCCACTGAGTTCTGGGATTAAAGTCCTACAGCACCACTGCCCAGTGGCCTTGTCCTCTTGATGCTCCGGCCTCAGTCCCCTAAACACAGAGACTACAAGGGTGTGACGCCGCACCCATCCCTCTTTGCAAACGTCGAACAATCAACCTGACTAAGTTCATGGGAGAAGCTATAAAGGAATCTAGAAGTATGCATATGGGTCTAATTGAACAATTTAAATTCAAAAACTATTTTAAAGGAGCATGTAGAACGCCTTTCTATTTGCCGTTAAGTCCCATTGTTTGTTGTTCGGGTTGCTGGGGGCACGGAGATAACAGGTTATGGTGTCTCTGCCCCTCGAGACAACTTGGGGCTCACCCTTGGGGTGAGCATCTATGCCTCAAGGTGCTCACCCTGGGGGCCAGGGGTTGCACCTGTGATAGCTCAGCAAATTTAGTTGGGATGTTTGAGGCCAGCCCGCCACGGAGCCTCTGTAAATCAGATTAATGTCCAGCCTTGCATTTTACATCTAAAAGTTTTGGCATCCATTTTTGTCAGACCCCACTTCAAGAACCAAAGAAAGGCTGGGGTAATGTCCCCCTGTACAAGGCTTTCAGTGGGAACTGACTCTGCCATTCAAACAGGCCTGTGGGCAGCGGTGGGGCAGCAAGACTGGCTGGCCTGGCCCTCGAGTGTGTGTGGCTTCTGTCTTTAGAGTTCAGTGACCACATTGTGCATTGGAACAAGGGACGCCTGTTTCAGACACTTGACCTGGAGGGGCCTGCAACCCTCCAGCTGGCTAAACCTGAAGCCAAGCAGACGAGAAGGCCCGACCCTTAAATTCTGAGACACTGGCTCTTTGAGGCCCTGGGGGCTCCTATTAAAGGAGTCAACGACTTGGCTCAGGATCTGGGCTGTGGGTTTGTTTGCTTGTGTGCTTGCCACTCTGTCCCTAGCCGCCTTGTTTAATGCATCTACTCCTTGTCCCCTCACCTGGTTGCCGGGAAACACTCTTTCCCCGCTCCAGTGAGCAGATACACCCAGCAGCTGCGACACCAACTGGGCCGCGACTCCAAGTTCATGATGTGCTACGCCCAAAAGGAGGACCTGCTGCTGGAGGAGACTTACATGGACACACTCATGGAGCTAGTAGACTTCAACAACCAAAACCTAGGCAGCCTGGGAGGCCTGGACTGCCTGCTGGATCACAGCACCGGTATCCTCAACGAGCATGGCGAGACTGTCTTCGTGTTTGGGGACGCGGGAGTGGGCAAGTCCATGCTGCTGCAGCGGCTGCAGAGCCTCTGGGCGTCCGGCAGGCTGACCTCGGCAGCCAAGTTCTTCTTCCATTTCCGCTGCCGCATGTTCAGCTGCTTCAAGGAGAGCGACACGTTGTGTCTGCAGGACCTGCTCTTCAAGCACTTCTGCTACCCAGAGCAGGACCCCGAGGAGGTGTTCTCCTTCCTGCTGCGCTTTCCCCACACGGCACTCTTTACTTTTGATGGCCTGGATGAGCTGCATTCGGACTTCGACCTGAGCAGCGTGCCAGACAGCTGCTGCCCCTGGGAGCCGGCGCACCCACTGGTCCTACTGGCCAACCTCCTAAGCGGGAGGCTGCTCAAGGGTGCCGGCAAGCTGCTCACTGCCCGCACAGGCGTCGAGGTCCCCCGCCAACTCCTGCGCAAAAAGGTGCTGCTCCGGGGTTTCTCCCCCGGCCACCTGCGCGCCTATGCCCGCAGGATGTTCCCGGAGCGCATAGCTCATGAGTATCTGCTGCAGCAACTCGATGCCAACCCCAACCTCTGTAGTCTGTGTGCCGTGCCGCTCTTCTGCTGGATCATCTTCCGCTGCTTCCAGCATTTCCACACGGCCTTTGAGGGTTCCTCGCAGCTGCCGGACTGCGCCGTGACCCTGACCGATGTCTTCCTGCTGGTCACTGAGGTGCATCTGAACAGGACACAGCCCAGCAGCCTGGTGCAGCGCAACACGCGCAGCCCGGCGGAGACACTGCGTGCAGGCTGGCGCACGCTGCACGCGCTCGGCCAGGTGGCGCACCGAGGCACCGATAGGAGCCTGTTTGTGTTTAGTCAGGAGGAGGTGCAGGCATCAAAGCTGCAGGAGGGGGATCTGCAGCTGGGCTTCCTGCGGGCTCTGCCAGACGTGGGCCCTGAGCAGGGCCAGCAGTCCTATGAGTTTTTCCATCTCACGCTCCAGGCCTTCTTCACTGCCTTCTTCCTGGTGGCAGATGACAAAGTGGGCACCCGGGAGTTGTTGAGGTACTTTCGAGAGTGGACGTCTCCCGGGGCGACACCAAGCACGTCCTGCTATCCTTCCTTCTTCTCCTTCAGGTGCCTGGGTAGCGGCAGCCGGTTGGGCCCTGATCCTTTCAGGAACAAAGACCACTTCCAGTTCACCAACCTCTTTCTGTGCGGGCTGCTGGCCAAGGCCAGACAGAAACTCCTTCGGCAGCTGGTGCCCAAGGCTATCCTGAGGAGGAAGCGCAAAGTCCTGTGGGCTCACCTGTTTGCCAGCCTGCGCTCCTACCTGAAGGGTCTGCCCCGGGTCCAGAGGGGAGGCTTTAATCAGGTCCACGCCATGCCCACATTCCTGTGGATGCTGCGCTGCATCTACGAGACACAGAGCCAGAAGGTGGGGCGCCTAGCCGCCAGGGGCATCAGTGCCGACTATCTCAGGTTGGCCTTCTGCAATGCTTGCTCTGCTGACTGCAGTGCCCTGTCCTTCGTCCTGCACCACTTCCACAGGCAGCTGGCCCTCGATCTGGACAACAACAACCTCAATGACTATGGCGTGCAGGAGCTGCAGCCTTGCTTCAGCCGCCTTACCGTGCTCAGGTGAGGCTGCCAGCTGAGATGGGTGAGGAGAACAGAGAGGCTCTCTTTTGTTTTACCTGGCGGCTACATCCCGACCCAATATGGCTGCCCAAAGATAGCACCGGCCAACTACTTAGTATTGTAGCCAGAAGGAATCCCGAGAAGGACAGGTCCCATTTTTAATTTTTTTTCCCCTTTAGTATTGGGGTTTGAACTGGAGGCATCACACACACCACACAAGAACACGCCTAACTGTCTTAAAAAGCCATTGCCAGTGACAGAACTTCTTAGATTTCTTTAACTGTATGTGCCAAGCTAAAAGAGAGGAGGGGAGCACAGGGGATTGTATTGCTAAGAACACACAGATACTGACCTGCCGTGTTGGGATTGAATGAGAGAATGAATTTAAAGGGAGGACGTGACTGCTCCCAGGTATGGTAGAGAAGAGGGTTTGGTGTAGATGTGAGGGAAAACATAGACTGAGGCGGAGACATCTGGGAGAGTCCAGAGTGGACTTGACCAGCAGATCCAGCCAGGCCTTGTGAGAAGCAGGGTGGGGAAAGCCAGGAGACCAGGAGACTAAAAGGCCAAAAGGGCAAAAAATATTTTTTTAAAAAAAGGGACCAGTGTAGCCAAAATGGCCAAATTATATAGGGAAGAACAGCTGGGGGAGTGGTGTAACCTAGCCCCCTGGACTAGAGAATTTAGGGGATAGAGAGGGTATGTCAGCCAGGAGGATCCTATAACAGGTAGAGACTGGGAGAACTGGGCAGCCAGGGTCCACTTTGATATGTTACTAGGGCATCTCAGCCATTTGTCCTGGGTTTGAGACCTAACAGGGATGGCTCTGCAGCGTATACCTTGTGCTCGCATCCAGTCTGATACTGTAGGGGACAGGTCCCGAGAGGCTGCCCTTATCTTTTTGATGTGGCTTTTCTGTTCTCTCTTTAATTGTCGTGGATGTCAGCTTTGTGGTCAAACTTAGCCCGTGGCTTGTGCTTTTAAATAAAGTTTTATTGATGCGCAGCCACACCTGTCATTTGCTTCTGGGTTGTTTCGCCCTGTATGTAGGGTTGAGCAGTTGTTTGGCCCAGCAGCAGCAGAGCCTTCAGCATTTGCCAGCTAGTCTTGGTGTAGAAAGTCGGCTGCCCCGCCCCAGTCCAGTCGCCTCCCGGGGTTCCTGCTCTCATCTTGCTTCTCAGTTTCTTTCTTGAGGGTCAGGGTAGCTTGTTACAGAGATTTCTTGGATGAGTAGGGGTGGAAAGCAAAAGGAAAGGGGAAAAGCGGGAAGGGGGGAAAAGGCTATTGGGAGCTCAGTGGTACCCTTGCTTTGCATGCTGCAAGTCCTGGGTTCTACCCCTGGATCTTTGTATGTATTATTTACCTAATAAATACATACACACATGCACATTTTGCTCATGAGAAGCTATACTGCTGGGTTTAGAAAAATTTTCTAGAGAATTTGCAGTCTGTGACTGGCCCTTGACCTACAGGGAAGCGGTCCCAGAGACCCCATTTTCCTCTTCTATATGCCTGCTCCCAGCCTGCCCTGCACAGGCAGCATTTGCACTGGGAGAGGCTGGAGAGGGTTGCTGCCAAGACCCGCCCTTGCCCAGAAAGCAGCCAGTTCCTCCTGAGACTTCCAACCCAGAACTGCTTTAAAAGAGCTGTTTCCCTGGGCAGCAGGATGCCAGGCCTCCTCCCGCACCTGAGGTGTGTCAGTTCTAGTGGGGACTATCCTGCCTTGTATTTTGTAAGTTAGCTCATGTCCTTACTCCACTCCTAAAATGCGAAGGTACCCCCAGTGGTAGTGATCCCTAAAGGCGGTCCCTCACGTTTCAGACCCCATGACCCGCCCCCACTGTGCTCAGAGGATGGAGAAGTCACACCCAAACGCCGCCGATGTTGGAGACAGCTGGAAGTAGCTGGCTGCCTCTGTGACCCTTTGGCTTCAGGGCTGGGCTGCAGCCTTGTTGCTGGCCATGGACCCTAGGCAGCTGGATTCTTAAGCTGAGCACTTCCTCGGAAGTTCCTCGGCTCTGACTGGCAGTTGTCTTCACTGGTGTGTTTTAGACTCAGCGTCAACCAGATCACTGACACAGGCGTGAAGGTGTTGTGTGAGGAACTGACCAAGTACAAGATCGTGACATTCCTGGGGTAAGTCTTGCTGGAGGATATTGGGCCTGCTACCTTGTCATAGTTCTTAGCATCAGAAAATTGGCAGACATGTGGTCCACTGGTGACAGAAACCATGGCCAGTGCTGGCATCCTCTGGCCTCAGCCTCCCACATGCTGGGGTTACAGGCATGTATGTGGCTCCGGGTTCTGTTCTGGGCTCAACTGGTAGGCTCAGTTCTAGGTGGAATTGGAGCTAATCAAAATGCTTATGGAGCCCCCAGCTTCCTTACTTGTAAAACTGGGACCCAATCCAGGCAAGCTATTTTGGAGGCTACGAAGAGGAAGTATGTGGGGATAGGTTTTGTAGATGTTAAAATACCTGTCTATACATCAGACTTGACTACTTTGGATCTACTTCTAGGCCCAGGGCAGAACCATATATATTGAATAGTAGTGGTATAGCCAAAGGGTCCTAGGTAGAACCCTCCTTGAATACTCCAATCGTGCTACAGAAAAATAAATGAATACTCAAACCAGGTAGTGCTAAGTAAAGGCCACCCATAGACCCAAGTCAGTTATTAAATACGTCACACGGAGTTTTGAGTTTAGGGGTTGAGATGAGGGCACGTGGCCCCATGGCTGCTGCTGCTCTTGTCCCTGGAGCCGTTGCTGAATATTCCTGGACCACTGGATCATGAGGACACGTAAGCAAAAGGTCCCATGGTCCCCTCTGTTATGCATGCCGAGTGGTAGTGGAGAGAAGACTTAATAGGAATGATTTAAAGAAAAGGACATAGGACTTTACTCTTCAGAAAACCTAAATCACCACTAGCTGCATTATTGAGCATTGTGTGCTGGGCTGTGCATGACGGCATATGCTCCCTGTCACCACGGGGCGAAGAGGTGTATGGATTTGGCATAGAGGGGAAGCAAGGGAGCTGGCTTTGGAGCCAGGCTGATGCAGAGCCCAAACTCTGGTCTCTGTGTGTTCCCCCTTTCAACTTAGACAGTGGAAATCAGTAGGCAGCGCGTACTCGCTATAGGAGGAGGTGTTTGGGTGACACCGGACTTACAGAGGCCCCTGGCTGTGCTTTCTCTCCAAGTTTATACAACAACCAGATCACTGATATCGGAGCCAGGTATGTGGCCCAAATCCTGGACGAATGCAGAGGCCTCACGCACCTTAAGTAAGTAAGTGGGGAAGGGCTGGGGACTCCTTAGAGGTTTGTTTTCTTTACCAATACCTGGGTCACCTTTTCCGTTCCAGTGTCATCATAAAGAGGTCTCACCAGCCCCATGGCCATACTAGTCTAGATGTGCTCATCTTGTGGAGAAAACATGGCCCAGTGTGGGGTTTGGCTGTTGGTGGCAGTAGAGAGTTAGCTCTTTAATCTCCCTAGCTACTGGCTGGAAGGAAGGGTTGTATCTATTGGCCTTTTGGGGATACCAGACAAAGATCCTCTTCTCCTGGGGAGCTTGATTCTTGGCATTGTCTTGACATGCCCCTTCAGGCTGACGATCATCCAGCCCTCTTCGTAATGGAAACACTTACTTTGACCATTGTCAATAAATGTGGGAATTCTCAAGCCTACTAAAGAGAGTGGTAGTTCTGGGGTCATTCTGAGAATCCCAGGAAAGGCTCCAATGGTTGATTATCAGCAGAGATTGTGGGCTACATCATAGGGTGAACCCAGGCTGTGGGTCCCTCCCTGAGAGGAGACCCCAGGCATGGATACATGTGTGCCAGGAACAAGATCACACTGGCAAAAAGGCTTAGGCGGGCTCAGTATCGGGAAGAAGGGTGGCCTTACTGTGGAGTCCCTATACAGAGGCTAACCATGCATGTCTCTCTCTGCAGACTGGGAAAAAACAGAATAACAAGTGAGGGTGGGAAGTGTGTGGCTCTGGCTGTGAAGAATAGCACCTCCATCATTGATGTTGGGTAAGTAGAAGGGACACCCTATCACACACACACACACACACACACACACACACACACACACACACACACACGGTGTATACAGCCTGCTGTCTGCGCGGGCACTAGCTGCTCTTCTGGACATCAAGGACCCTGGGGCTGGCAGCACAGACACCTGATGGCTTCTGCATGAAAACTGGGTGGGAAGTGTGACAACAGGGACTGCACACACTTTTACTTATTTAGAAATCAGCGACATTGTGATTGGGACACGGGAGCCTGGCTCTCTGTGTTCACTGTTGCCAGTCATTGGTCCTGTTTTTAAGAATTTACTATTCTCTGATTAGCTTGCTTTTTTTTAATGTTAAAAATTGTGGTAAAATTTACATGATATAAACTCAGCCACCTTCCCCATGTTTACTTATGTAATTCAGTAGTGTTAAGTGCATTCATGTAAGGCAGCCATAACACCATCTTTCTCCAAGGAGCTTCTTCGCTCTGGCTGTCCATTCCTAGGCATCCAGATCCAAAGTTGAGGAGATCACAGAGGTTTGTTGTTGTTTTGGTGATGGTTTATTTTACTTACGTGACACCCCCAAGGGTCATTCCTATTGTCAGATGTCAGAGTTCCCTTCCTTTCAGACTGACTGTCCTCAGGATATCTGCATTTCATTTTGCTCATTGGTTTTCCTGTCACTGGACACCTGGGTTGTGGACTCTGTTGATGGCCTTGGGTACACAGACATCCCTGCTAGATCCTGCTCGTATTTTCTGTGCTTAAACGTCCTACTGGGTTGCAGTAGAATGTTGACTCTCTTTCTGATTTCTTTTTTTCATTATGATTTTTAATCTAAACTTTTATGGCTATTGGTCTTTTGCCTGCATGTATGTTTGTGCTCCACATACGTGCTTAGTGTCACTGAGGACAAAGGGAGCATCTGATCCCCAGGAACTAATGTTATAGATAATTGTGAGCTGCCATATGGGTGCTGGGAATCAAACCCAGGTCCTCTTATTCTCAGAACCAGCTTTCTATTCCTTCTGTCTGATTTCTTGGAGGCCGCACGTGATGTTCCTTAGAGCAGCGCTTCATTTTACACTCCCGCCGGCAGTGTGCGTGGGTTCCATTTGCTCCACTTCTTTGCCAGCACTTTTTTTTCCCCCCGTTTTGTTAACAGCAGACATCCTAAAGGTAGGAGGGGTATCTCATGGTGGTTAAAAAACTCCTTGTGGTAATGTAATTTTTCCTGTATTATAAAAAAGAACATTGGTGGTTTTCTTGAGAAACTATGGGGAATATGAACAATAACAAAAAAATGTCTTCCAGAATTGCTTTTTTTTTTTTTTTTTTTGGTTTTTCGAGACAGGGTTTTTCTGTGGCTTTGGAGCCTGTCCTGGGAACTAGCTCTGTAGACCAGGCTGGTTTCGAACTCACAGAGATCCACCTGCCTCTGCCTCTCGAGTGCTGGGATTAAAGGCGTGCACCACCATCGCCCGGCTCCAGAATTGCTTTTAAGCTGGATATAATAGTACATGCCTGTAATCTCAGAATTTGGAGGGTGAAAGCAAGAGGATCATGGTTCAAGATCATACTCAGCTATATATGAAGTTCAAGGCCAGCCTGGGCTATTTAAAATAAGAGAATCGCCACTGACATTTGAGAGCATGGGAACGCTTTTCAGTTCCCTCTCTCCCCCATTACTCCTTTTACAGAGCAGAAACCAACCCACATGGACTGAATGCTGTCTTCATTTTTCACAGTCTCATGTCATAGTCTGACACTTTCTTACAGTTGATGCTACTCAATTGGTATTGTGCATATATTTTCTTAGCAAAGTACTGGAAACCGGGGTCTCATAGGCCATGCCTGAAAGCAGCCTGCTGAGCCTTACTGCAGAGGTCAGACCCTGTTGTGTGTGGACTGGGCACATTGTTCTGCTCCCTGGAGACAGAGGCCAGTGCTCGCGTCTGTGAAAGCACAGAATCTTCTTTACTGCTCTGCGAAGAATGACCTCATTATTTCATTTGACAGAGAAGGAAACTAAGGCCTAAGACATGTTAATGTTTATGTAGGGTTGCACAGCTGTCTTAAGTTGGTTGTGATAAAGACCATGGGCCCAAATCAGCTTGGGGTGGGAAGGGTTTGTTTGGCTTACATTTTCCCATCGCAGTCTATCGCTGAGGGAAGTCAGGGCAGGAACTCAAGCAGAAAGCACAGGGGAATGCAGCTTACTGGCTTGCTCCCCAGGCTCACTCAGCCTGCCTTCTTAGACACCCCAAGATCTCCTGCTCAAGGGTGGCACTGCCCACAATGGGTTGGGCCCTCCCACATCAATCAAGAAAGTGCCCTACAGAGTTTCCTATAGGTCCATCTGATGGGAGCATTTTTTTCCACTGAGGTCTGCCTGGAAAGGGAAGTCAGCTTCATTCATTGTTCTAACTCGCCACCGAGACTCGAGTGTCACGCAGGGCCTGGCTGGCAGCATTCTTACCATATACAAGGAAGGTTGCTAGATGGTTTAGCCATAGTTCCAGGCCTTGGATTCCTGGGAGGCCAAAATCATCAATGGCCCCTTTGCTTGCCCACTGTTGACCCAGGGTGGGAGGCTAGCCCTCCTTTCAAACCAGCATAGCCTGGGAGTTACTTTCTAGGGCAATTGTTGGCTGAGGGTCTCAGCAAAGAGCATTTGCAAAGTTCAGAAAGGCTGGTCTCAAACCACACAACCTGCTGATCTGCCTGTCTGTGTTCGAGGTTGCTGCTGCTTTCAGGCCTCTCTGTAACTGGGAGCCCAGGGCAGGCTGCTTGTGCAGCTGCAGGCTGGGATCAAGGTCACCCCTCTGGCAGTTGCCTGCTGAAAGTGAATCCAGAGGAGCAGCTGACGTCAGATGGAGATGTGGCTGTGTAACAGTCCATTGCTTGCCTCTGCTTTCAGGATGTGGGGCAATCAGATTGGGGATGAAGGGGCAAAAGCCTTCGCAGACGCATTGAGGGACCACCCCAGCCTGGCCAACCTCAGGTAACATGCCTTCTGAGAGGTGGGCTTCCGGGGCCCAGGGAGGGGCTTCTGGGAGGAGGTGGCTGGCTTTCCTACTGGGGCAAGTTTGATTGGCACATGACTTCTTTTGATCAAGTTTTTCTCTGTGGGTGTGAGGCATGCAGTGAGGTGTTTAGCTCAGTGAACAACAGGGAGACTTGGGACACTTGCAGTCCCTCTGCCATCTTGATAGACACCCTTGGAGGAGGAGGCTGGGAGCAGTTTTAAAGCCCAGACAAAACCAGAGGGACCCTAGCCCCTTTTCTGCCCCTTCCGTTTTCTAAGGTAATGGACAGCCTTCCATAAGCACCGTGGCCTGATTCCAGCACCTTGGAATCTTGGAGTATTGCAGGCTCTACCGTGGAAAGGGGGTTCAGGACTTTCCAAGGTCTTTTCATGGGCCTCTGAAACTCTCTGGTGATCCGAGTTGCCTGATGAATGCCCTATGCACAAACCTGGCACAGTCCACTTTGGGAGCACCAGGATTCCTTGGTCTTCAGCTCATATGCGAACCCCCGAGTTCTGCCTTTGTTTTCCACCTGGTCTTTTCAGAAACAGCCATAAGCCTGCCCTCACATTCTTAGGCTGCAAAGCCCAGGCTACTATGGGCCAAGCGCTCTGCTTTCTGCCTGGGTCTGTGTCTAGACAGGAACTCCCAGATGTCTGAATGTTGCAGGCAAGGCCCCCTGTGGATGTGTCTGTAGTGACCCAACCCCTGTGTTTTTCTTTCTAGTCTTGCATCCAATGACATCTCCCCTGAGGGAGGGAAGACGCTTGCACAGGCCCTGAAGCACAACACCACTCTGAAAATATTCTGGTAACATCTCAAGTCATTTCCAAGGGTTGGGTTGGGTTGTTATTCCCAAAGTTGGAATCTAAACTGAAAAGCGCGTCTCCATTATAAAGGAGAATTAAATTTTCCCCAGCCATTTCCCCAAACCCAGGACTAATACACGGACAAAGCGAACTTTGTCACCCTCAGCTTCTGTGAAGGTGCCAGCAAAATCCCCTCAAAATGCTCTCACCCAGGCCTGACTTTCATGGACTTGTCCAAAAATACTCATGTCCCCGTCTTGCACAGCTTTCACCCATGCAGCTGCCTCTTACCATGTGCACTCACTACAATTTGGCTTCTGTGCCCCAGATGACCTGTCACTAGAAACCTGGAATTCTTATGCTTACTAAATGGATCTTACCCATAACTCCCCTCCCCCATGGTACTTTTGGTCACCCCTACCTTTCTGATAGGTCATTTAATCCTTTGTTATTCCTTCATTATTCCTTAGCTTTCTTTGTGAGCAAGTTGCAATACCCCGTGTGTCATCCTCTTGCCTCCCGGTACCCATTAGATCTTGCTAACCTAGTATTAGTTACTTATCTTGTTGCTATGACAACATGCCTGATAAAAGTAACTCAAGGAGAGAAGGCATTTACTCTGGCTCACAGTTTGAGGCTACCTTCCATCCCGATGAGGAAGGCAGGGCAGCGGAAACATGAGCAGCTGTTGATGCTGTCGGGACTCGGAAAGATAAATACTGATACTCAGTTTGCTTTCTTCCAATTGGCTGTGATGCTTGTGCCCATGGGATGATACCATCCACATCTACCTACATTAACCTACCACATTAACCCAGGCTGGAAACTCCCCCCACAACATGCAGAAGTTTGTCTCCTCAGTGATTCTTTTTTTTTTTTACTTTTATAAAATATATATTCTAAAAAAATCACACTGTACAAATTTAGCTAGAACCTTCTCAATGCTCAGATTTATAAAAATGTCAACGTAACAGAGACCAAAAGGGACAAACTCTCACCACTTTCGTTTCAAGTTAGGAAGGAAAAACAAAATGATTTGTCTTTTTTTTTTTCCTGGTACAATGATAGCAAATTTCTAAAAGAGATCCAACAAGCCAGCAGCAGAAAATGCAAGGTTGGCCTGCTGGCTCCACAGTTCCGTTTCCGGCCCGCTGAATCGGAATCCATGAGTCCAAGCGCAGCTTTCCCCGCAGGGCAGGCGATGCAGGCGCACTGAGCCACATCAGAGACTTGGTGAAGTTACCATCAGTACACACAGTTATTGAAAATCCCATCTTATGCCCAGTGTAGTGGAGAACACTTGTAGTCCCAGCATGCAAAAGGCTGAAGCCGGAGGATTGCAAGTTTAACACCAGCCTGGCCTTTGTCGTGAGAGTCTGATTCAAACAGTACCACAAATCATCTCTTTGAGAGCCCTGACACTAAACCTGTTGCCATGAACTCATTTTTAATGATTTTCCTTCCAAAATGTTAGTGTTTTTAAATAACATATACTTTTTAGAAAAAATGTGCAGATGAAAATCTGAAAAGTAGGGGAAGAAAGGATTTCTCATGATTTTCAAATACTACCGTTCTCCAGATGTTTGTATGTTCAAATACATACAAATATATGTATAAATATATAAATAAATATAAAGGTGTAAGTGTATAAATAGGGTAGCATGTGTCTATTCCAGTTCTTCACTATGCATTGCATACTGGACCTGTCCATTCCAGTCAGGATCTCTCACTGCCATGCCGCTGATGTTTTGGCTGTTGCTGGGGCTGCCCAGAGCATTGGATGGTCTACTGAAGCATCCCTGGCCTCTACCTGTTAGATGCCAGGAGCACCTCAAATTGTGAAGGCCAAAAGGTCTTCCTCCAGGCACTGTTAAGTGCCCATGGACAGCTAAACCACCCTGGTTGAGAGCCACTGCTCTGCATGGACAAGAATGCAAAATTTTTAGTGCAAGCCATTGGTCCTTCTGCACCTTTCACGCATGCGGATTCATCCCACAGCAAGTTGGTCTCTTGGGCACCCTAGCACGGCCTCCTTATTTATTCTCTATTATTGTCTCTAAGGCACAATGCACCTTTGAACCTTTGAATGGATGCTTCCTATTTCATCAGTTTCTTCTGTTGGCAGACACCTAGAATAGTCCATATTTTGCATCATGAGCACAATACCCCAGTGTGTGTGGCAAGGCCTAAACCTCTGTTACACATCTTTTTCCTTTTCAGCACTGAGGTTCAAGCTCAGGGCTTTGGGCAGGTTGGCCAAGAGCTGTATTCACAGCCTTTCAATTAATTTTTTTTTTTAAATTTCGAAATAGAGCCTTATTAAGTTACCCGGGCTGGCCGGCCACAAACTCACAATCCTCCTGTCTCTGCTACTGAGAAGTTGGGATTACAGATGCCAGATGCCACTTTTATATTTATTTATTTATTTGCTTTGATGAACATCTTGCAACATCAGGGTGAATTTCTAGTCTGATGACTTTCATCAAGTGCACTATATTTAAGTTTGGGGTAGATGTGATCAAAGAATGATCTTTTAAACAGTGCCAGTTCTACTGCTGTCTTCTTTCACCCATTGGCACAGGAAGGTCCTCTGCTGTTGACATCTGGGAGCGGCAGTGCTTTGTCCCATCAGCTGCTGGGTGCAGAGCAATCGAGAGGCTTCCCGAGTTTGTCACGAGGTCTTTGTCCTTCACAGTAGCTTCAGGGAACAGCTGAGCATGGTTCACCATGCAGGGTTTTCCCAGATCTCCATGGTGACCTGGGCATTGGGCTGCCAGTGGCATTCAGCGGTTTAGGGGCTGGAGGCTGACCTGGAGGCTGACCTGCAGGCACTGGCTCCTTGTCATGTGGGTCCTTTGCTTCCATAAGATCCAAGGTTTCAGCCACACTGCAGGAAGGTGGGCAGGAAACAGCTCAGGGAAGGACTAACTGGAGCAAGTGCCATTATATGAGTTTACCTGCCTGCCATGATGCAGGATTTCAGGGTAGACTGGGAGCCTGGCCCTCAGCATGTGATGCAGGTCTTGGGGGAAGGCCCTGAACGGCCTCTGTGAACTCAAAACAACATCTGTCCATCAGCACTCCTGACTCAACATTTCCTCTCTTCTAGGCTGACCCAAAATGAACTTAATGACGAGGCAGCAGAGTGCTTCGCTGAGATGCTGAAAGTCAACCAGACACTGAAGCACTTATGGTAACTCATGGGGCTGGGGCCTGGACTCTGCTTCCCTGCACAGTCTTTGCGATGAAATCTACATATCACAGCATCCCGCCCTCGATAGATGGTTTTTGTTTTGTTTTGTTTTCTTCTGTTGTTATTTTTTTTTTCCTGGGTGGTGTTGGTGCACGACTTTAATCCCAGCACTTGGGAGGGGCAGAGGCAAGTGGATCTTTGTGAGTTCCAGTCCACCCTGATCTACAGAGTGAGTTTCAGGACAGCCAGAGCTACACAGAGAAACCCTGTCCAAAAAAAAAAAAAAGAAAAAAAAGAAAGTTTAGAGGTTTCTCAAATCACAAAGTTGTACTGCTGTGACTGTGTAGGTCCAGACCGTGTTTGCTGTCCTCCCCCAAGCCCTGTTCTGCCATCTCTGTGCCCTGGTGACAGATTTCTGACTTTTGTCTCAGTTGTGGGCATTTCATAGAAGTGGAGCCACTGAGCCTGACCCTTCATCTGTGCTCATTAGCACAGCTCCCAAGGTTAGCCCAGGCATGACAGGCGTGCAGGGGATGGAGATGCATTTGCTCATCACCAGTTGATAGATGTTGGACCATTTCTTCTTCCTAACTATTCTAATGCTTCTCTAAGAGTTCACACACATATTTTTGCAATGGTGCATTTTCATCTTGCTTCTGTACATACGTAAGCACCGACTTGCTGATAGCTTAGCAAGCAAGCTTGTTTGACTTTCTGAGGGAACTTTCTCCCCATTCCCATCAAAACTTGCTTCTCCTTTTTTTTTTTTTTTGCAGTGGATTTGTTTGCTTTCTTTTTAAAATGTGATTTATTTTTAATTTCATACCTATATAAAATGTTCTTTGAGCAAAGTGCCAATTTATCCTCTTTTGTTCTTCTCCTTCACAGAGAATTTCTTCTTCCTCCTCTTCTTCCTAAGTCTTCCTCCTTTTGTGTTGTATGCGTGTGTGCACAGGTGTGTGTGTGTGTGTGTGTGTGTGTGTGTCCCTCTGTGTTTCGTTATGGTTGCTGGCAAGGGCATGAGTGGAGGGTTACTTACTAGAGCTGGGCACTACTGACCGCATCACTGAAGAATATGATACCCCCCCGCCCCCGTTCTCCTGCCCATAGCTTCTGTGGGAGGAATAGATCTCATAAGCCCCTTTCCTAGCCATGATGGAATGTTGCTGGCCCTGTCTTGTGCAGACTGCCATGTCTTCTGCGAGTTCATGGGTGCGACAGCCATGTCACGTCCAGAAAACAATCCCCTCTCTACCTTCCAGCTCTCATGCTCTCCCTGACCACAATGCTCCCTAAGCATTGGAGGGATGGTATGTACATCCCGCTGCACTCAGCAGTCACCCACCAGTTATAAACTCTACACTAAGAGTCACCTGCCACGAAAGTATTGTCTCTCACCAAGGCCAAGTGCAGCATTTTCTATGGGTACAAACATAAATATTGAGAGGATAGTTTGACACCGTGTCCCGAGGATCTGTTGCCCCTCTTGGAGTATAGCCGTATAGTGAGTATGAACACACACTGTGCTTTTGATTGTCCTCACGAGCCAACAGTGTTGAACATCTTCTCACACACCTCTCTCTTCCTGGGCACCTATCACTGACGAATATCTCCACACCCTTAGCTCGTTTAAAAACCCAGTTATTCTTCTGCTTATTGTTGAGCTGTAAGAACGCCTCATTCTGTGTCCTAGACATTTTGTACATAGGTTTGCAGGCATCATCTCCTTCCTCTGGACTTTCCAGTCCCTGATAGTGATCTGGTTTTGATGAAGTCCAATTTGCCCACCTCTTCTGTAGCTGTTTATGTTTGAGGAATTTTACTTGATGGAATATTGCCTAACCCAAGGTCACAAAGATTTATATGTAAGTTTTTCTCTTAAATTAGGTGAACAGTTGTGGACATATTGAGGTGTGTGTGTGTGTGTGTGTGTGTGTGTGTGCGCGCATGTGTGTGTGTGCGTGTGCATGTGTGTGTGTGTAGAGATCAGAGGTCAAAGTCCAGTGTCTTTCTTGATTCTTCTTCATTTTATTTTTTTTATGTGGTTCTGACTTTTTTCCCGTTTATTTATTTATTAAAGATTTCTGTCTCTTTCCCGCCACCGCCTCCCATTTCCCTCCCCCTCCCTCAATTAAGTCCCCCTCCCTCGCCAGCCCAAAGAGCAATCAGGGTTCCCTGCCCTGTGGGAAGTCCAAGGACCACCCACCTCCATCCAGGTCTAGTATGGTGAGCCTCCAAACTGCCTAGGCTCCCACAAAGCCAGTACACGTAGTAGGATCAAAAACCCATTGCCATTGTTCTTGAGTTCTCAGTAGGTCCTCATTGTTCGCTATGTTCAGCGAGTCTGGTTTTATCTGGTTTTTAAGACAAAACATTCCATAGAACCTAATTTGACTGTACAAGGACCCACAAGCCCCAGTGATCCTCTTTTTATATGAGTGCCAGAAATCTAGACGCGGGTCCTTATGCTTGAGCATCAACACCTTACCTGCCGTCTCCCTGATCCCCCATTTTGAGTTAACTTTAGAATGTGGTATAAGGTAGAAGTCTTCATCCTCTCCACATAGACGTCCATTCTGAGGGAGCATCAGCTGAGCAGCTCAGACCATCAGTGCATGCTTGTCCAACAGTTGATTACACGTCCAGGAAGAGTCTAGCTTGTCATGTTATGTGTCGGTTCTTATATCAGAATCTCATTGTGTGGACCAGTCTTGTTTCAAACTCAAGATCCTCTTGTGTCAGCCTCCTAAGTGTTGAGGTCACAGGCATGCACCACCATGTCTGGCCTCACCGTCCTTCTGTAATCAGTTTTGTTCTCTCTCCAGACAGTTCTAGCTATTCTGAGTCCCTTACATTTGAATTTTTGGGAAAAGCCAGGTTTTTTCCTTTCTTCCTTTTCTCTTCAATTTTCAGATTTCCCCTGTTCCCATCTCTGGGTGCTGGACCCTCCAGGTTGCAGAGCCCGGGAGGCTCAGAGAGGGGGTGCACAGCCATGCTGCTCTCACTGGAGGTGGGGTGGTGGCAGCCAAATGTGCCCAGCTCTGCCAGCTGCCTCTGGTACACCAGGTGTGCTGCTTCTTCCTGTTCTCTTGTCGCATATTTTGTTATTTTATTTGTTTGAGACAGGTGCTTATTCCATAGCTCAGGCTGGCCTAGAGCTTATTCTGCATCTCAAGATACAATGCTGAGAGCTTTTGCCTCTGGTCACTGCGCTCTATCTTTTCCTGAAATGACACACACCAAGCGTGCAGGGCAGTCCTGTCCAAGTTTTTCCATCTTACAGGTGAAACGTAGTGAGGGACACAGTTTGCTCGCCAGTGCTCTTCAGCCAGACACGGGGGTGGTGAGAGTCGCTGACAACCTTATTGTGCTGTCTTTCTGTGGGCAGGCTAGCTCCCATTGTCCCTAGTCCCTCGTCCATCCTGCTAGCAGAGCCCTTGTCTTCCTGGAGGGGCTCCTTCATGGATTAGTAGCCAGAATTTCGAAGACTTGGGGTTAGCAGTGGCCTCATATGCCCACAGCCTGGTGAAGCAGAGAGTCCATGCACATCCTTGCCTCTTTCTGAATGTATTTTCTGCTTGGGTGAAAGCTTTGCTACAGACCAAGGTTCAGGCTGCAGACCAGGGCTTCAGACTACAGACCAGGGCTCCAGCCTTCAGGCCAGGGCTCTAGGCTGCAGACCAGGGCTCTAAGCTGCAGGCCAGGGCTCCGGGCAGTGCCTACCCCAAAGCCTTGCATGTACTTTGCTTGACTTGACTCATGTCTGTCTGCAGCACACATCCTCTGTGAAACTCTGTGTATCAGTGCCCTATCACTGGTACCGTGAGTAACAGCAGCAGAAAACCCCTTCCCTGCCCACTGTTCTAGGTGTTGGGAAGAACCTGCCACCATCTTACAAGTCTTTGGGTTCCCAAATAATTGATGACAAGTTGGTAGCTACTTTAAGTTCTGAACTTAAATAGCAAAAACCTTAAATTCTGCCCTGCCTTTGCCTAACTATCTGGAAGGAGATGGCAGACAGATTGCTCTTGTTGTTCAGTCCTTTTGGGCTGGGGATCCCTGCAATGAAGGACAGGAACACACACACACACACATGGGTATCTGTTGACAATTACGCTATGTATAGTCTCAATATATCACAATCACTATGTAAAACGCAAACATTAAGGAGTTTCAGTGCTGATCATTGCTCTTGTGTGTCTGAGGCCCTGTTAGTCCAATGAGGAATTATGGGGATCCTGTTACCCCTTAACCCTGACCTCATAGGATTCAGATTGGACACAGTCTTCTGTGTTGACACAGGTGTACTCTCCTTTCAGGCTTATCCAAAATCACATCACAGCCACGGGGACAGCCCAGCTGGCCGAGGCACTGCAGAAGAACACCACCATAACAGAGATTTGGTAAGACCACGCTCTTGTCACAACACCCGATTTCGTGGTCTCTGAGTGAGTGCCACTGATCACTTCGTGGGGGCCTGAAGTGATCCCACTTCCTCCTTGACTGTGAGGATGATGTGGGGAGAAGCAGCAGTTCCACAACTGGAGGGGCCCCAGCTCTTTAAAGCTCTTATTTGCCCTGAGTATTCGCGAATGCTCTGGAAATATGTCCCGGAAGCCAGGCCTGGAATATTCCCTCCCAGTGTGATCCAGGGAAGCTGGCAGCAGTGGAACCAACTCTTGTTGGGGACACAGAGGCAATTGTGGATTCCCTGAGGTTTACGGAGCAGCCTCACTAGGAGCCCAAGCCCTAAGTTCAGGGGGTGGATACCATTAACCACTTTCTCCCATGTGAGTGAGGAGAGAAATTCAAGCCCCAAGACCTCCTGAGATATAGTCCTCCCCAGTTATTAGCTCCTGAAAGGTGTTATTAGCTTGGCCTTGGAAATGTCGCTGCATCACACACTAGTCCAAGGGCTGCAGCCAGCATTATTTTGAGATGAAACCCGTAACTGGAGGTTTCTCTCTCATGCACCAGTTCCTGAATAACCACTCTGAGGCTTAATGTTAATTACAAACTGTCTGATCTATTAGCTCAAGCTTATTATCAACTATCTCTTACAACTTAAATTAACCTATTTCTATTATTCTATATTTTACCACGAGGCTCGTGGCTTGTTACCTCACCTCTTGTTTCCCTGGAAGCTGCTGGCATCTCCCTGACTCCACCCTTTTTCTCCCTGTATCTGTTTGTATTTCCTACCTAGCTCTATTCTGCCTGGCTATTGGCCAAATTAGCTTCTTTATTAACCAAAGATATTCACAACATACAGAAGGGCATACCACATCAGAAACCAAGGGCAATGAGGTACCAGCAGCATCTGAGCGGTCTCACCCACCTTGCCTGAGGAGTGCATGTAGACAACTCTGTTTAAATGCTGGCTCTAGACTGTTGCCTCTTAGGTAATTCTACATCCTTTCGTGTTGACCATCATGGAGAATGTGGCTCTTACTCACGGTCACACAGCAAAGCGTTTATGAAAAAGACTGTCACAGAGATTAGAGCCCAGCTCCAACAGAACATACTGTGGTGCTTGTGCTGAGGCCAAACTTTCTGTGAGGCAGTCCTGACTGAGGGCCTTAGGATCAGGTTTGCCTCCTGATACTACCAGGCACTTGAGCAATGTCTCCATCTGTCATTGAGTAACATGAACTTGAACGCCCGCCTTGGGCTGCTGCTAAGACTCCAATGATGAACGCGTGTGAAGTGCCTCATGGGCTCACTCTGAGATCAGAAAGGAGCACAGAAGGGGAAATAACCAAGTGTTACCGCAAAGGCTGCAGGATCAGGCAAGGCCAGGGGGGAGCTGGACACAGGGCAGACCTCCTAAGGAAGAAACTTTAGACTAAGCCGTCAAGGATGAATGGAAGTTGGAAGGTTGGGGTGGGTCTCAAAGTGCTACATGCTAGAGAAGGGCACACACAAATGCCCAGGGTTTGAGAAAGTGTCCACCAAGAACTACAAGCAGCCAGATATGATGGTACATGCATTTATCAGCACTCAGCTCTATGGGAGTCTGAGGCTAGCCTGATCTCGAGGGAGACTGAGGCAGAAGCATCATGGTCAGCCTGGTCTACATAATGGGACCCTGCATGGTGATTAATATTAAAAGGATCTAGAATCACCTATAAGGGAAATCTCTGGGTATGTCTGTGAGGAAGTTTTGATTGAGTTAACTGATATGGAGAAACCCATGCTAAATGTGGATGGCACCATTCTGTGTGCTGGGGCCTCAGACTGAATAGAGGTAGAGATAGATATATAGATGGATGATAGATAGATAGATGATAGAAGATAGATAGATAGATGATAGTTAGATAGATGATAGAAGATGATAGATAGATAGATAGATAGATAGATAGATAGATAGATAGATAGATAGATGAGAAAGAGCGAGCAGAGGGTCAGCGCTCATCTCTCACTCTTCCTGACTGTGACAAGTCACCTTGGCTTTTCTGCCATTCCTCCCTCAAATTGCATTTTGAGATAAACCCTTTCTTCCTCAGTTGCCTTTGTCACAGCAACCAGAAAATACACTACTAAAGAACTCCACAGTAGGGGGCTGGAGAGATGGCATAGGGGTTAAGAGCATTGCCTGTTCTTGCAAAGGTCCTGAGTTCAATTTCCAGCAACCACATGGTGGCTCACAACCATCTGTAATGAGGTCTGCTGCCCTCTTCTGGACTACAGGCATACATGCAGACAGAATATTGTATACATAATAAATAAATTTTTTTTTTAAAAAAAGAACTCCACAGTAAGCTAGTGTGCCATAGACTCCGTGGGTGTGGAAGAGGGGGCCCCTGGGGGCTGAGGAGATAGGCAGAGCCTAGGCCTGAAAGGTCTCGGGGTCAGATCATGAATTTTGACCTTTATACTGGCAGCAGGGGAAAGCTGGTGACGGGCATGAAGCAGGAAGAGGATGTGGTCAGCCTGAGCACATCTCCTAGAGCAGTCAGTAAGACCCTGCTGGGTCCACAGAAGGGCCTGGGCACTCAGAGAGCTGTGGGGGAATTAGGACCGCAGAGGGGCCTCGGGGTTCTGACCCAACTGAATGAAGGGAGGGACTCTTTAGTGAGCTGGGGCCTCTGGGCTGCTGTGGCAACGTTGGACTGTGTGGAGACATCCAGAGAAAGGTGTCAAGAGGAAGCTTGCCTAACTGACCCGGCTGTGGCAAGACAGAGGCCAGGAACCTAGGGCCCAGCTGGTCCCCAGCCTTGGAGGGCATGAGAGAGCAGGCCAAGAACAAGTACCCAGAGACAGGAGAAAGATGAAGAGTCTAAGGTGTCCACCTGAGAGAGGACACAGTGCCGCAGGGAGGAAGAAGTCAAGACAGCTGAAATTCTGTGAAGGCTCAGAAGACCCGAAAGTGTCACTAAACTCAGGCTTCTAGAGGCTGCTAGTGAGCCCTGTGGGGTGTAGTAAACAGAGGAAGGGTGGCAGGGAAAGGCTGGTATTAACATCGGGTGTGCTTTTTAATTCAGGGTTGTATGACGCACACAATGTATGGAGTCCCTTACTGGGGCAGGATGGATGCTATTCTATAACACTTCGTGTAAAGTTTGCTTTTTCTCCTTTCACTAGTCTCAACGGAAACTTAATTAAGCCTGAGGAGGCCAAAGTCTTTGAGAGTGAGAAGCGGATCATCTGTTTCTGATGGACTCTCCTGGGCTGGACCTTTGACCTAGGTTGCTCCCTGGTCACAGACAGCACTGCGCAGTCAGCAGAGACACGGGACGCTGTGCAGGGCCTGCAGCAAGGGGACTGTTAGGAGGCACCTCCCCTGCAGATGCTCAGACTGGCAGTGCCCAAGCCATGGCTGGGACTGTGCAGACGTAGAGTATCTTAGGAGCCACTGTCATCACTCAAAACCAGCAGGGTTTTCTATACAAAGAGGTTCCCCTGCATAGCCACAACAGTGTCTGAAGATGAAAGGATGGGAAGCAGGGGACCAGCCTCAGCTCCCACAGATGCCTGCTTGCAGGATTCACGGGACTGATGGCACCTTCAGGAAAGAGCTGGGAACTTGGGCAGAGCCGACAGCAGCTTTTCGCAAAGAAGGCACCTGGTGACCACACAGTTATCTTGAAAGCTCCTTCCTCTGCTCAGTACCCCCTTCCACTGTACAGATCCGTTCCTTCCCCCTAGCTGTGGTTATTGAAGTAGGTCCACCGTGGGGAGGGCTCATTCAAGGGCCCCCAGCAAGCTGGTTGTCAAGGGCTCATCACAGACTTTGGTTTCCGTTCTGGATTCTCCCTGGCTGCAAATGGGAATCAGAGGATGCCCTGTAGATCCATCTCAGAGGAACTCTAGGCCTTAAAGAATACTGAGGTCCCGCCTAGAGGTTTCCCCCATCTCAACCTGACCCCTCGGGGGGGGGGGAATCAGTTCCCATCCTCCACAGCAGCAGGACTTGCCTCGATGGTCCTGTGATCTCAAGCAAAACTCTCTCTCTTGCCTGTGAGCAGGAAGTATGGTCATGTCTTCAGCAGTTGGAGGGTGACTGAGCACAGCCAAGACTCAAGGAGCCGGCTGATAGCTCAACCAGCAAAGCATGGCAGATACCCACCACCACGGTGGGCATGTGGGGATGCCCAGCAAGGTGGGACGGTTGGGGATGTTGCCAAATAACACGTTCTTTTACCACCTCATTTGTTAATAAAATACTGAAAATACTCGCTATTTCTAGTGGCTAAGTCTGGGGGTTTTCTGAAGGGACGCTGTCTGGAGGGAACACCGCAGCCTGGCTCACTGCAGTGGGGGTCCTGGGGAGTCATGCTATACAGCAGAGGTGTCACCAAGGGACAAGAAAGGTGGAGGCAGCATCCAAGGTCGCTCTACCCTGTTCCTGACACATGGGCGTGTCGGGGTGGAACAGGCCCCATTTCACACCTTCACGAAAGCACAGTGGCTCCTGTAGGCCAGCTGTCTCCAGGGGCTCACGGCTGGATGGAAGGCCAGGGGAGCTTACAGCAAGAGGCTCTGAGTCAATAGCGGTAGCAAGAGACAGTTCAGGGGACCCTCTGACTTCATCTTTTTGGTCCCAGAATTTGTGTAGTTTTGAAAGGGAGGGTGCAGTTGAGGAAGCTAGGGGGAACACTGTAGGGGTTGACAACCCCAATCCCATCAGGGCAGTTCCCTTAAGGAACTTTTAAAAGCACTACTGTGGGGATCCCCACCCTCTCCACTACAGGCCCCGATATTCACCGAATAATCACCCTCCGGCGTGGCAACGTTCCCCTAGCCAGACTGGGAGGAATCTACCAGAAACACAGGAAATAGCATCATGCCACGGGTCAATGACGCTTGCAATGTGCCGCACACTCCCCACGTCTTACAAGAACTTCTCCGGGACAAAGCACAGATTTATCAACAGTCAAAGTGAAACCCTTGAGAGGCTAAAACGTTCTCATTATTGTCCTTGCGGCTATCAGAACTGTGGCCTGGGGTGGCTGGGCATGAGTGTGGGTTTGGATAGCAAGTCTATCACACTTCATTCAGTCCTCCTGGTGGCAAGAGGCGGGCTCTGCTTTCTCAGAAACCGAAAGTAGCTCCCTGCTTTATAGCAGAGGCTTTGGGCCTACAGGTAGGCAGAGGCTCCACATAGCCAAAGGAAAAGAAAACGGGTCTTCCAGTGGCCCACCCCTGTAATCCTAGGTGTGAAGAGGCTAAGGCAGGGCCATTAGTTCAAGGCCAGCCTGGGCTACAGGGAAGAGGACTTGCCTAGGAGGTGCAAAGCCTGGGTTTCATCCCTGGCATTTATTTCCCTTCCAAATGAAATTTTTCTATATGAATTTTGAATATAATTTATTTTTGTAGGATGCCCTGGCTGATTTGGGAGGAAAAAAAACACAGTTCCTACCATTCATAGCTGCTATCATGACATATCTGAGCTGATCTGGAACTTTTCTCTTCTTAAAAAATATTTATTTATCTATTTGGTGTGTGTGTGTGTGTGTGCGCGCGCACGTATACATACGTATGTGTGTGCTTGCATGAATATAGAAGTCTGAGGACTTGTTCCTCATGTGTTATCCACCTTGTTTTTGAGACAAGGTATCTCATTGGCCTGGATCTCACTGAATAGGCTAGGCTGGGAGCCAATGGCTTGTAGGGACCTCTGCTTGCCACCATACCTGGCTATTCTTTTAAATATAAGTTGTGGGGGTCACCCTCAGGTCCTCATGCTTAAAGGTAAGTGACTGAGTTATCTTCCCACCCTGGATAATACTTTGAAAAATCATGTAAACCACTACACACCTGTGGTGTGGGAAGTCCTTCTGTATGCGTGTTGCTTTTATTGGTTAATGAATAAAGAAACTGCCTTGGTCTGTGATAGAGCTGGGGGGGGGACACTAAACTGAATGCTGGGAGAAAGAAGGCGGAGTCAGGAGATGCCATGGAGTTGCCAGAGGGGAAAGAGGCGAGCTGACAGTTGAAACCTTGCCTGTAGGCCACGAGCCTTGTGGTAAAATATAAAATAATAGAAATGGGTTAACCAAAGATATAAGAGCTAGCTAGCAATACACTTAAGTGATTGGCCGAGCAGTGATTTAAATAATGCAGTTTCTGTGTGATTATTTTCAGGAGTCTTTGCAGCCGGGAAATGAACAAGCAGCCTTCTACAACACACCTGAGTAGAATTAGCTTCATGGCATGCCTCACTCTGCCACGGCCTGCCTGTGGCTGTGGGCTGGGTATAAGACTGTTGGAATCTTGATTTCCTCCTTGAAAAGGGAGAACCCAAGAGTTGTAACTGAGGAGTGTAACTGTTCAGAGGGGGAAGGGAGGAAGGAAGCCAGCAGCGCTGGCACAGGGTCCCCACTCTATGGCACTAGCCCCCACAAGCCTGCATTCCTCACTCTCAGTCAAGTGGACTCCCCACTTGTTTCTTCTCCCTCAGGCTGAGGGAACCTCCTAGCAAGGTCAAACAGGACAGTCAGCTTCTCATCCCCTCCCCAACAATATTGGGCATCATGCTTCTTACAATCCTCTAGCTCTGCCAATGAAGACAGCAGCTAGTCCTCACCAGAGTCCCTGAAAGGCACTGCGGTCCACAGGTGGACTTGCCGGGCACGGGTGGACTTGCCGAGCATGGCTGGTTGCCATGTCTCCACTGCAGGAGTAAGAGCAGGGTCGGAGCTGGTACTACAGTGCAGACTCAGACCCTTTCAGGTTCTGCTATGGCTTCATTTTGAAATAATCCCCCCAGTGTTGATGTGTTGAAGATTTGGTCCTCAATATGGAAAAGTCCCAAAGCTGGTGCTTTGGAAAAGTAATTGTGCAATGGATGATCTGACCTCATTGAAGGGTTAATTTACTGATGTGTTATTGGAAGAAGGTATAAAACTCAGTTGGGGTCTATTTTTAGGTCAATGGAGGCATGCCCTGGAGAGGGTGTTTCTTGTTCCCTAGCTGTCACTCACTTGCTCCCTTATTGTCACTGCTTCCTGGCCACCCTGAAGAGAGCAGCTTTCCTCCTCCCCACCCTTCTGCCATGACTTCCTGCCTCACCCAAGCCCATAGACAGAGCCAAGGGACCGTGAGTTGAAACAGTGAACTGAGTTGAACATTTCTTCTCTAAGTTACTTGCTTCCTGGTGTTCTGTGACAATGTTGGGAAGTTAGCACTACTTAACCAGGAAGAAACATTAATATTTTTAGTTCATTTCCAGATGTGGCACATGTGGTAGTTTCTGGTAACGAAATACCTACCTAGTTGACAGAAACAAACAAAACCTTGCTATGGTGCTGAGAGGTAAAACCATGGCCATTATCCAGCTCTACAGAGCATTTCAGTAGCATGTGATTAGCTCCAGAGGAGGCGAAGACATGCTCACAATCACGCAGACAGCAAAAAGCATCCTGTAATAAAGTTGCATGGGTGTGGGGGGCATCCCATTGCTGTTCTCATCAACTGAGATGGAAGGAACCTCACCCACAACCAGCTTAGGAAAACGAGGATGCTAAACAAGCATGCAGTTCCCCTCTTAATTACTTGACTACTCCTTTGAGTTGGTATGTATCAAAATGCCTCATGATTTCCCTTAATTGTTTGCTCTCTCACTGTAGGGAACCTCAGAGTCAGCTCAGGATGCCCCAAGACCAAATCCTCAGCATAGAGAGAATTTATTTGCCCCAGAGGGACAGAAGTAGGGGAATAAGAGACAAAGACAGGAGATAAAAGAAGGGGAAGGGAACAAGGGCAGAGTTATTTGTCCCAGTAGGGGTTGGGGGGCAGCAAAGACAAAGGACGGCCTCTGGATAGAGGAGACAGATGTGGCCCATGGATAAATGGCAGTTTATAAAGTAAGATAGGAAACCCAGTGTTAGGATGAGGTGTTTAATTTTAACTGGGCAGGTTAATAGGTGAGCCTAAGGGGGCTTTTGACTTTGATGGCAGGATCTTGTTCGTCAGCCTCAGGAGTAGAAAGTGGCCTTTGTGGGATGAATCTTGGCAGCTAGCTTCAGGAATGTAATCTAATGGTTTTCAGAGGCAATGGGGGAGAAGGGCAAGGCCTACCAGAGCCATGTTTGCCAGGCCTGGGCTGACTGGAGTTCCTTCACTCACAGCACACTTGTTTTTGTTAAAACCGACCTTATCATGTTGAACATTTTAAAATACCGCACATTATTGCGTTCCTTTTCTGTTGCTTTGACCAAATACCTGAGAAGTTCAGTATAAAGGGACAATTTGGGCTCATGATCTTGGAGGTGTCAGACCAAGATTGGCTGGATGGGTGCCTTAGACATACGTGGCAGAGGAGGCTGTTTACCTCCTAGCCATGGAGCAGAGAGACCCAGAGGCTAGGGATGAAGGCCTGTGTCCCAGTGTCCACAGAGACCCAGAGGCCAGGGATGAAGGCCTGGGTCCCAGTGTGCACAGAGAGACCCAGAGGCCAGCGATGAAGGCACGTGTCCCAGTGTGCACCATTTCCCAACTGTCCATTGAGCTACAAGTCTACTACAACTCTTATCATCCAATCACCTCAGTTAGTAGATCTGCCACATTAGAACTAAGTCTTCAACACATAATTTTATGGGGTACACTTCATACCAGACCAAGATAATAACTACAGCTATTTAAGCTTTTGCAATAATCTTCTACACTTTGCATTAATATCTTTAGGATTAAAAAAATTGTTTATTTTTTGTGTGTGTGGTCAGTGTACATGCATACCACAGCATATATCTGGAGGTCAGAAAATGACTTCATGTGTTGGTGTGTTAGCTATTCTCTTCCATCATGTGGGCACCAAGAATGGAACTCAAGTCATCAGGCTTGTCAGTTGGTATCTTTACCCATTGAGCCACCTCACTGACTCCTGAACCCTGTTTTCACTGTTCCAATCATGGCGCATGCCTGCAGTTCTTTTTATGTAACTCTGGCTGACCTGCACCTAGCTATGTAGACCAGGTTAACCTTGAACTCACAGAAATCTGTCTGCCTCTGCCTCCAAAGCGCTGGGATTAAAGGTGTATGTAACCACACCCTATGTCTGTTGTTCTTTTAATAAAACATTTCTCCCACATTGTTATGCTCTTAACAACTACCATTTGTGCTGTATAGAATTGGAGAACTCAATCACATCCTAATGATTAGACATTCATGTTTTCAGAATGGTTATAGAGCTGGTGATCACAGCAGACAATGTTTTGGTAGAACTGGAAATCTT